TATTACCATTGATTAATATTTAATTTAATTTAACTAATACACCTTACATTTCTATTAATTTTATTTGAATGAAAATAATTAGTATTAATTTAATAATTTGAAACCCCAAAAAGCATACAATACTAAATAAAAATTAATTTTAAATAGAACGATTCTTCAGAGTTATCGCTACCTCCTAAACATATGCCCATATTTTACTTGAGATACATTTACATTCTGTTGATATAAATTTTTAAATATTCAAAAATTAATGCAATAAATTAAATTGTGTGAGTATCTAAAATATTTTTCATGATTTATTACAAAATTATGCTGTTTTAAATTAATTAAGAGGCATGTTTCTCTTTTTTGGTGTGTTTTGAGTATGAAATGATGACCAACAAGTTTTGTTTTGGTTTCTACTATTTTTTTTTTTATATCTTTTTTTTTTGAAGTTTATTTAAATATTTTTTCTGCTAAAAATACAGCCTCTGTAGAGGTCAGCACCAATTAAGCAAAACATAAAAAAAATTATGAAATATTTCATAGATGCAGTTAACCACGCATTGTAATTTTAAGACGTGTTAGGATTAGATAGAATTGAATCTTGTAATTGAAGTTACATATGGTCAGATAATAAAAAGAACTCGAAATTTAATTTGTTAATAAAAAAAATCAACTCACGTAAAATTATGTAAAAAAATACAATAAAAATGCAATTATAAAATGTATATACTATTTAAATCTAACAAGTACAGATTAATTAAAAAATCATTTACACATTTAGAAACAAATATGTTATGAGCACTTAAATTTGATACAATTTCCAAACATAAAGATTTTAAAATAATCTAGTAAATGGCTTAATGAACCATAGAGTTACTTCAAATTGAAGCAATGTAGCATGATAACTTCTTTCAAACATGTTTTTCACAGTCTTTAACATTGAATGTGTTTTTCTCATATTTGTTCTGTGCTTTTAGTGCAGTTAACTAGCATATTATTATTTTTAATTTCTATTTTTTGTTATATTTTCGCGTTATGGTTTAATTATTCAAAATTTTTATGTACTGATTTTATTAAAAATAATTTTTTAATGTAATTTAAATGTTAGAATAATTTTTCATGTTAATATATTATCAGTCCCATTCAATTCCGGAACTCCTGTAGAAGCTTAGGATTTCCATAATCTTTTTAAATACAACTTTACTGCAGCAACTTGAGAGATTTGATTTCTGGTGTATCCAGCTGTTTTAGCTTACTGTCCATTGTCATTCACTATTTTAAGACAGATAGACTTAATTGTCACTTGTTATATCCAGCGGATATCATTGGAAAGCATGTTTGGAAATATTGTTATTAAACTTTTGCAGCATGTCCTGCTGTTTGCATCGTTATGTCTACTATTCTTCGCACTTGATTGTTATTTATTCAGGTGACGCTATTGGAAATTATATTTGCATCTATAGATACAATATTAAGATTTTGCAGCATT